GTGGACTAGGTGCTTAGAGCCTTTTCTTATGGAGTTGTGTAAAGCGAACATGACGTCACACACACGCTTCCAGATGCATCTTCGGCAGACTGTCGGGGTTCAAACTCCGGTGAAACAGTCTGGACAGTCATGCTTCCTTTTTGGCGTGCACGAAGGCACGATATATATATATATATGGATGTTTTGCTGGCTTGTGATGGGGTGTTGTTATTTATGCGGCTGTCAAAGGTTATTTAGATCAAATTCAGATTTCTCAAATTCTTAAATATGAACAAGAGTTGTTGAAATCAATTGATCCAAGTTTGCTTTCTGCTATTGCACAACAAAAAACAATCACTGAACAAATCGATAGTCAACTGGCTAACTTTTGTCAAAAATTTACTCAGAGTTCTGCGTGTGTGCGTGCTTGCTGGTCTGAATGACTGTCTGAGTGCTTGTCGACTTCAGTGTGTCTGCGACCCGCAAGGGGACTTGCTCGTTCAGACGGCCCAACGGGCCGGTACTTACCTGTGCCCATGACATTGAGGGTTGCAGCGGGGAAAACACTCAAGTGGCGGGGAAAGAGGCCTGCAACACTTAGAGCAGCGGAAAACACTCAAGTAGCAGGTAGGCCAGTACCACACCAAGTAGAGGTAGACGTGCCGCGAGACCGAGCAGAAGAAGACAAAAGTTGGCATTTTTAGAGGCCCAGTAGTTGTAGGCTAGGTCTAGGCGGGTACCAGTCCAACCAGTCTGAGTCTAGGGCCTGTATGGGCAATATCAGAGTCTGCAATGATGTTTCCCTCTGGAAGGGAGGAGGTACCGGTTGCTTGGAGGCCGCACGGCCTAGGTAGTCACTCGCCAAGAGGCAAGCGGGCCGCTATATCTCCTGGAGGAGCAAAGTGCTCCTCCTCATTGTCGGTGTGCAAGTTTGGCGACACACTGGTTGGAGTGCTGGCTGGAGCAGCGCTAGTACAGAGCTGCTCTGCTGGGGAAGGAGCAAGGACAGCAGGAGGAGGGAGACAAGGACTAGGAGGGGAGCGCCAGAGGTACTTACCTGGCTATGGTAGATGCCATCTTCATCATCTTGGTGGGCGCTGCATCTGGAAGGCCCCAGTTGGGGTAGAGCTACACCAAGAAGTTTTGAGGCAGAGTCAGGCATGGAGGCATGAGCTAGAGCAGCCATAGCTGCTTTGTATTGTCCTTTGCACAGCAGTGCAGTGCCCTGGTAGTCCGCCATAGCCTCGGCCGTGGAAGAAGGAGGAAGAAGGGTGGCCATGGCTATGGTGGACCTCATGTGATGCCTGCAGTAGAAGAGGGATTCAGACATTGATTCTGGTTCATCCATTCAACATTATTATTATTATTATTTGTTGTTTGAATAAGAGGGGAGGAGATAAGGAGGAGGAGAGTGGTTGGCGAAGAAGAAGAGCATTATCATTGGTCTATGCTGGTGTACATCATCTTCTTCTTCTTTCTTTCTTCTTCTTCTTCTTCTTCTTCTTCTTCTTCTTCTTCTTCTTCTTTCCCTTTCTCTCCTCTCAAGTTCATTCATTTCTTTTTGCAATTGGACGGCATTGTACTTGTTGATGAATGTGTACTTCGAAATTGGCCAGGATCATAACAAATGTGTAATAGTTGTGTATCCTTTTCTGCAATTTTTTGTAAGATCACTGTAATGTGAGGAATGAGCCCTCTAGAAGGGGCCTTGCCATGTTGTACATGTTCTGGGCTAAGGCCCCAGCAAGCCTCGTGCCCGCCCTAAGTGAAGGCGTGCCAGTAAATCCACAAGAGCCCTCTGTGCCAACATTTCACAAAGTGGGGTTCATACAGTTGCAGCACGCCAGATTGGTTGGAGTGCACCGAGTCTCGGGTTTCAGCAAATGCTGAAAGCCCAGGGCCTCTGAGTTAGTTAGGCCCTGGGCACTTGAACGTGAGGCCGACAATGCATGCTGGGTATAGAGGCCGAAAATGCCAAAGGGAAATCGGCCCACTATCTGAATCTGGCCGCAGGCCTTGATGAAAGAGGCGCAACTGTATTGCTCCGGGGGCCCAACTGTATCGGGCTGAGTTCAGCCTCTGGGCCCCGGTCACAGGCTGAAGGGAGGCCGCCCACACGCTGCACGGGCATATAGGCAAGCGAGTGGGCAGGGATCTTGGCCAATGCTGGCATTGCGGGCACGCTGCGCGAATGCATGTGTGCTGCGCTATGCATGAGCAGCGCTGCGCTGAGAGGAAGCAGGCTAGCGCTAGGCGGTAGGGCGCTGCCTGCATGCAAGGCACTGGCAGCCATAGCCGGGCCGCATGAGGGTGCAGGAGAGGTGAAGGGCGAAGGTGGTCTTCGGAGGTGAAGGGCGCTGTGTGGGTAACAAGGGAGAGTGTGGGGAAGAGGACACGTACCTGGTGGAGGTGGTGGTCGGCATTGGTGTTGACATCATCACTCGCTAGTAGTCAAGTTGTCAGGTTGCTTTCATTGCTGTAGTTGTAGGATAGGCTGTAGAGTAGATAGGGCGCCTGGCGCCATTCACAAGAGAGAGCTACATTTGGGTTATGCTGTTGGTGTTGCCCTGTTGGGCATGGACATTGACTCACTATTCTTTTGTATCATTCTCAATTGGATGGTTACTCGGTTCCATTGTGCTATTTGCTTTGGCTTGGACTACTTGGACTTCAGTGTGATTTTGCATTCTGGATTTCTGT